ATGTTTTTATTTTTAAACCAGATAGTGCCATCTACAGAGTGCCTTGCATTATAGGTACTAACATTTTGAGAAGTGCCAGATTTAGGTCATTGTTTAAAATTCCAAAGTATAGCAGAAGACACAGCTGAGACTGGTGAGAGAGCAAAAAGGTGTGGTTGATCGGTGCAGGTAAAGTTCATCTGCCGGCCAACTCGTTCAAGACAGTCACTGTCAAGTGCTCAGCTATTGGCACTGAGCGGACAGTATTGTTTGAGCTGACCGGGAACACAAAGGTTTAGTTTTCCTGCACTGTGTTATGGTCTTGCTCCAGAGTGGTTGTAGAAACAATGTTTAGAAGGCTACAAGAGTTGGGATTAAAGTTGAATCTCTTGAAATGTGTGTTTGGTAAGAAAAAGGTAAACCTTCTAGGACATACAGTGTAACCCAAGGGATAGGGACCATGGAAGATAAGGTGATGGTAGTTCAGCAAGTTTAAGTTCCTAAAAAACAGAAAGAGCTAAAAGCTATCTTAGACCTGGCAAGCTATTATCGATGGTTTGTACCCAAATTCGCACACATAGCTAAGCTACTGCACGGCCTGATAGGCAACCTTAACCAGCAGGCTGGTGCGTCCAAGAAGAAAAACCCTATAGAGCAGTTATGGTCCTTAGAATGTGGCAAAGTTAACTACGCCTCTACTGCTAGGGTTTCCAGATTTCTTCAAAGCATGTCCTAGAAGTCGATGCTTAAGATGGGCTTGGCTGCGTTTTATCACAAACACAGGATGGACAGAAACAAGTGTTAGCAAATGCTAGTCGCACACTGCCCTCTTCAGAAAGAAATGCTAAAAGTAGTTCAAAACTGGAGCTACTAAGTCTGAAATTCAGAAGCTACCTCTTAGGCACCAAAGTAGAACTGTATACAGATAACAAAACTCTATCCTTGTGGGAAAAGGCAAAACTGGGCGCTATTGAGCACAGGTGGATAGTGCAGATGTCTGTGTTCGATTACGAAATCAAACACAAGCCAGGGCACACTAATGGTAATGTAGACTATTCGTATGCAAGACACAGGAGAGAAAGCAGGGTGTTATATATTTAAACCGGGAGACTTAGAAGTGAGGAGAGCACAAAAGCTACCGGCACATAAAATGTAGTGACGATAAGAGGCGGAGGAAATCGATCCTTTGGTGGAGGGTCAGGTTCTTCAGGAATCAGAGTGGCCCTGATTCTTCATTAGGGTGCCAGAATGTCAAAGTACAGATTAGTCACGAATACTGCAAGAAAAAATAGGAAAAGAAAGACACTAGGAAACAAATAAGGGGGTATAGCAGTCGCCTGAGAACAGGAAGGTCGCTAAAGAATATAATACAACAGCCCTAAGGACACTGACCCAAGAATCAACGAAACAAGGTATCCGTGCCGAATCAGCTAGGACTACAGGACCGTTGTAGGCAAATAAACCCATAGGTTAGAAGAGGAAGAAACAAAGGTAAAAACCCAGAGTATTGGATTAGAAAGACTGAGACAAAGATGACCTTCAAAGGACACTAGACTAAGAACGATAGTTGGGAATTTGAATACTAATCAAGGCCTGGAAAAATCGAGGCATGGAAAAAATCAGATACTTAAACTAGAGCAGCTGCATCTACGAAGTGCTGGAAAAATCCCAAAGAAGAGAGAGAATGGCCAAGAAAAAGACTTACACGGAACAATGGGGGGGGGGGGGGGGGGTTGGAGTCAGTGGCAGGAAGCAGGAGGCGGGAAATAAGTAGAGGTTACCTAAAGTGCAGTGGCCTGCATGAAGCACAAAGATTAGTTTGTATATATTAAAGAGATGTAGTCAGCAAGAGAACTAGGACAAATGGCCAAGGTGAGCGTTACTTAGGGAAGAGTATATATACTACAAGAAGGACAGAGGGAAACATTGGGCCCTGTAATGTTGTGAATTCCAGGGGAAATTCCAGAGAGTTTTCAATTGGGGGACAAGGTCAGAGGACCAATGAAACAAGAGGAAAGCGAAATAAGCAGGTCTTGTGTATCCCATGGTGAGTTAATGAAGGATACAAGGAAAGCGTGAGACTGAAACGGCAGATGTGAACCCAGAGGAATAACGGCTGCTCAGACTCAGGATAGTACCTTAAGTTTACAGGTCATGTGTCCAACTGGGTAAGACATCGCGATTTTCCAGTTCCGCCTGAATGTCTCACCCAGGTAGACATGCTAGTAACAAGCCATTGTTTTTGCTCATATGTCTTACCTGGTAAGACTTTTTGTTTGGACCATAATTTTGTGGTAATAATCTGTGTAAAACAAACAAGAAACGTTTAATTTGTAATGAAAATTAAAAATTAGGAGTAAAATAAGAATGGCAGGTCAAAGCAAATGTACTCGTATGACAACAGATCAAGTTATTTCTTATTTAGAGGAAAGTGATTCCGATTTTTCTTTGGAAAGTGATGTAGATACAAATGACAGTGATTATTTAGATATTGAAAGTAACGATTTGTCGTCTGAAGAGGAGAATAATGATAGTAGCGATGAAGACAGTAATTTAGATTAATCTTAATCTCAATCAGCAGCTGATCAAAATGCAGTTACTGCGAGTAATGAGTGGGTGAAATCCAGTTCTTCTGACATAATTTATGTTTGCAGTGCAAAATGCAGGTGTGCAGATTTCTAATAATGAAATGCCTACAACAGTTTGTGGTTTCTTTGTCATGGAATCAAACAGGTAAGCAGCTGAGAAGATAAAAGAGAAAACCCTAGCAGTTCGTTCTTTGTGACATACTTAGTTAGATGTTACAACTGTTGAAATAAAAGCATATCTTGGAGTCATTCTGAGAATGGCAATGCAGGAACAAGAAAAGATAAAAGATTTTTTTCCCAGCTGAATGGATAGATTACATGCCTCTTTTAACCATTTCGCTGTTATGGACGAGATAACCCGTCTTCCCCGTAGACTGCTAAGGACCAGATAACTCGGCTTCCATTTTCTGTGCCCTCACTGCTAAGGACGAGATAACTCGTCCTCAACTTTTTTTTTACAGATTGCTAAGAACAGTAATTCTTGGGGTGAAATGGCAATACACATTACCTTATTCTGATCAAACTGACCCATTTACATACAATTAAAACCCTTATCATGTGTGTTTGGGCGCATTTAGATGCATTCACGTTATCCTGTTGCTTTGTTACCATAGAAGCATTGTCTGTGAACGGTAATTTTTTTGCACTGAAATAGATTTCTGGTTTTTCGTAGGTCTACAATTAAACAAAAATACAAAATAACAAGAAAATTTTTAATTAAAGAAGAATTATTGGAGTTTTTTTCAAGGAGTAATAGTAAGGATCACTTTGAAACGTGCAAGTTATATGAGCTGGGTTATCTTCGCGGCACACCGGCAGACAAGTGTACTTCTGGCCGTGAGCAAGACTGACCATATGACCTAGCTATCTACATCGACTGGATTTGAAATGGATCCCAAATAATCTAAATGAAGATATGGTCACGTACTGACATGATGATTAATATAAATGTTAATAATATACTGTACAATTGAGGTGTTTGTCTATGAAAGTGTACAATACTGGTCCTATTTTTAGTTCTTAGTTTCATGTGAATTTCTAGTGTATCATGTCTGCCTTACAATCGAAAGGTCCAGCGTTCAACCCCTACATGCCGTTTTTTTTTTTAAATTATATTAAATGTAAATTTTAAATTTAAGCTTTTAGCATTTTCGGCAACAAATCACCGAAGAATTCATTAATTAAACATCCTGTCACGTGCGTTCCGGTGGATTCAGATGCTTTACAGTTTATCCTGTTCCTTTGTGAAGCGTAGTTGGTGTACTGTGCATTTGTTACTGTGCAATATTTTTGTGTCTTTGGATAAGTCTACATTTCCTTCATACAAAATGGCAAGACAATTTGTTAAAGTTGACGAAGAACTGATGGAGTATCTTTCGACGAGTGATAGCAAGATGACTTTAAAATGTGTACTTCTGATAGTGAGCAGGAAGATCTTACTGGGCCATTGATATAGACGGGTCAAACCAGTGTGGCCGAGAAAAGGTTGTTTGCGTGTCTGACGTCCTCATCATCATCAGAATCAGAACGTAGTGATGATGAAGTGCCATCAAAACGACATAAAATTGATAAGTTATCCTTGTCTTCCAACGACTTGCGACCCGATGTGCATACGTTTGATAACTCAAGCTCTGGTTGTCTTTTATCTGCTGTGAATAAAAACAGCTCAGTGCTTGATTTTTAAAAAACTTTTCACTGAATCGCTGGTCACTTTCATCGCTGATGAATGTAACAGATTCAGCAAGTATGTCATTGGAAAGGCACCTGCTACCATAAGCTCTCGTCTTTGCAGATGGACAGATGCAGATTTGGACAAATTATTTTGGGTTTTTTTTTTTGGCTGTGTGTCCACTAATGTGCAGAACAAAGAAACTCAAAATAACTGAGTACTGGACCAAAGACTGTTTGCTGAGAAAGAACATGTTTGGTGAAAATATGTTGAGGGACAGATTTTTATTATTGTTAAGAATTTTGCATTTCTCCATCAATAATGCTGATGCAGGTGGCGATAAACTGTTCAAAATTAGACATGTGATCGATAGTTTGCGGGCATCGTTTCGTGGGGCATTTTCGCCTTATCGAGATGTGGTTGTTGACGAGTCGCTACTTCTTTTCAAAGGAAGGTTGACATTCAAACAGTACATTCCGTCAAAGAGAAGTAGATTTAGTGTGAAAACTTTTGTAATGTGTGACTGCAGAACTGGGTATATTTTAGATTTCATAGTGTACACTGGTGTCAACAGTGACATTACTGTATCAAGTTTAGGGAAAGGGGCTGATATTGTATCCACTTTGCTGGCACCATATCTACAGAAAGGCCACAGACTTTATGTAGATAACTGGTACACAAGCCCAGATTTATTTCTGTGGCTTCATGGTCAGGCTACAAATGCGTATGGTAGTGTACGTAAAACAAGAAAACATATGCCCAAAATGGAGCAAAAATTAAAGAAAGGAGAAGTTAGTTCCAAGTCTGCTGCATGTTTATTAGCTATAAAATGGTGTAACAAACAAGAGGTGTGGATGCTAACAACATGCCACAATTCAGGAATGGTAGCAACAGAGAAAATAGACAGGAAAACTGGGTTAAATATTGTAAAGCCACAATGTGTTGTGGATTACAGCAAATGCATGGGTTCAGTAGATTGTACCGAGATGCTTCTCAGTTCTATTGAATCTATTAGAAAAACTGTCAAATGGTGAAAATCGTTTTTTTTTCATGTTTTAGATCTCTATTTTAAATGCACATTTATTATATAAAGTTGTGGGGAAAAATATTCCTGTTGCCGAATTTCACTTAATGTTAGTAAGAGAAATTCTACAGAAATATTGCAAGGAAACGCCCGTGTGTCACCGGGGCCCTCACGGGAGCAAAGAATAGTGACACTGCACCCTACCAGGCATGTCGTAAGAGGCGACTAAGGGTAGGGTTGGGCTTGAGGTTGGCTACCTTATCCTGTAAAAACCATAGCCACAAAAACCAACCAACCATGGATAAGTCAAAAAGAGAAGCAAATAAAATCCAGCCAACCAAGATGAGGGAAGGCTCTTCAAATAGAAGAAGTATGACACAGTGTGGAGAAAGCCGTAAGGAGTCCGGACCGTTGATGTACCTCCTCTCAGCTAGGAAAACCTCCAGAATTGGCACCTGGAATGTTAGAACTCTCTATGATATAGGAAGAACAATGGAAGTAGCAAAGGAAATGAAACATTATAGAATTAGTATTTTAGGGTTATGTGAAACTAGATGGACTGGGGCAGGGAAAAGTATTCTAAATTCAGGAGAAACTATTTTGTTCTCAGGACACACAGAGGAAAATTCGCCGCACAGTGAGGGAGTGGCCCTGATGCTATCAAAAGAAGCAGACAGGGCACTAATAGAATGGGAAGCTGTGAGTCCCAGAATAATAAGAGCATCTTTTAGAACAGTTAAACAGAAGGTGAACATCTCGGTAATACAGTGTTATGCACCAACAAATGATAAAGATGCATCTGTTAAGGAAGAATTTTACATGCAGCTTCAAAATATTATAAATAATGAAAGAAAGGGCAACTTAAAAATTTTGATGGGTGACTTGAATGCTAAGATAGGATCAGACAACACAGGTTATGAAGAAATTATGGGGAGACATGGTCTAGGAGTAATGAATGAAAATGGAGAATTGTTCTCAAATTTTTGTGCAGGTAACCAGTATGTTATTGGTGGAAGTATTTTTTCCCATAAAAGTATACACAAGGCAACATTGGAATCACCAGACCATAAGACAACTAATCAAATTGACCACATATGTATTAACAAAAAGTTTAGATCATCCCTTTACGATGTTAGGGCTTTCAGAGGTGCAGATGTATTTACTGACCATTTCCTGGTGGTAAGTAAAATCAAGTTGAAACTAAAAAGATATATAACATCTTATAATCATAGAAACCAATATAATGTAGGCTTTCTCAGAGATAAAGAAATTAAGGAACAGTTCTCAGTTACGGTCTCTAATAAGTACCAGGTGTTGCAGCAGCTAGCTGAAGATGTCAACACGGAAGTCTGCTGGGATCAGATCAAAGGAATCTGGAATGAATCTTGCGTAGAAGTTCTTGGCAAGAAAGAAAGGAAACATAAAGCATGGATAACACCAGAAACCATTAAACTGATTGAAGATAGGAAAAGTAAAAAAGCAGAATTAAACAATAGCAAAACTAGAGCTGCTAAAGCTAGAGCTCAGGAGAAATACACAGAAGCCAACAAGGAAGTTAGGAGGCATATAAGGGCAGATAAAGTGAAATATCTAAATGATCTAGCACAAGAAGCAGAGACAGCGGCAGCAAAAGGAAACCTCAGAGAACTTTACAGTAACACAAGAAAATTAGTAGGTAAATATAGTCAGCCAACTGGATCAATAAAAAATAGTCAAGGAAAGGTACTTACTAACACTAAAGATCAAATGGACAGATGGGTTGAATATTTTGAAATGCTTCTAAATAGACCAGGCCCAGAGGTTCCCCCAGATATCCAGCCTTTAGAAATGGAACTGGATATCAACTATGAGATACCATCCAAAAAGGAAATTAGGAAAGCTATAAATCTTCTCAAGGAAGGAAAGGCGACAGGCCCAGACGGTATCCCAGCTGAAGCCATCAGGGCCAACATAAACACATCAACAGAATTGCTACATAGATTATTCAGTAAAGTCTGGGAGACCGAAGAAATACCAGCAGACTGGAGAGAAGGATATCTTGTGAAACTGCCCAAAAAAGGTGATCTACAGGAGTGTGAAAACTATAGAGGAATTATGTTGCTGTCAGTTCCTGGAAAAATATTAAGTAGAATTATTTTGGAAAGATTAAAAGATGCTATTGATAAAATGCTAAGAGATGAGCAGGCAGGTTTTCGGTCAAACAGATCCTGTACTGATCAGATAGCCACATTACGTATTATAATAGAGCAAAGCATTGAACTGAACTCACCACTTTACATTGGATTTATAGACTATGAAAAAGCATTTGACAGCATAGATAGGGAATCTCTCTGGAAATTGATGGGGCACTATGGAATCCCACAGAAAATTATCAAATTAGTAAAGGCAACATATAAAGACATGAAATGTCGAGTTCTTCATGAGGGAAAACTAACAGATGCATTTGAAATAAAAACAGGTGTGCGACAAGGATGTCTTTTGTCGCCCCTCTTATTTTTACTGGCTATAGACTGGACTATGAAAACAGTAACTGCTAACACCAAGAATGGAATTCAGTGGACCCCTACAAAACAGCTTGATGATCTGGACTTCGCTGATGATATTGCTCTTCTGTCCCATTCACGGAATCAGATGCAAGATAAATTAAATATACTTAATGCGAGATCAAAGCAGCTTGGTCTGAAAATCCATAAAGGAAAGACAGAGATAATGAGAATAAATCAGGCAAATAGTAATGTGGTTTCTCTTAATGGCACCCCACTCCAAGACGTGGAGTCGTACACCTATTTAGGCAGTAATGTAGATAAAGATGGAGGAACTGATAGAGATATTAAAATAAGAATACAAAAGGCAAGAGGGGCTTTCATAGCACTAGGGAATTTGTGGAGGTCAAAAGAAATTAAAAGAAATACTAAACTAAAAATTTTTAATTCTAATGTCAAATCAGTACTATTGTATGGGGCGGAAACATGGAGAACAACCAAGGCAATTACTAATAAATTACAGACATTCATTAACTGGTGCCTGCGCAGAATAGAGGGAATAAAATGGTATGATAGAGTAACTAATGTAGAACTTTGGGAGAGAACTAAACAAGCTCCAGTGGATCAGGAAGTGAGGAAAAGACGCTGGCGTTGGATAGGGCACACACTGAGAAAACAGGAGAACAGCATTACTAGAATGTCTTTGCATTGGAACCCAAAGGGGCATAGGAATAAAGGAAGGCCAAAAAACACATGGAGAAGAGAGCTGGAGAACGAGGTTAGAAAGATGGGGAGGACATGGGGAGAGCTCCATGCAATGGCGAAGGATAGAACGACTTGGCGTGAGTTGGTTGAGGGCCTATGCTCCATTGGGGGATAGGGGATAGAAAGGCAGAAGAAGGAAGAAGAATTGCAAGGAAAAGAGAAAAAGTGTAGGGGGACAAAAAAAGTGAAGATCTGCCATTTCGTTTAGTACAAAGGCAGATCCCTTCAATAATAGAGTCCGTAACATCACAGAAGAAATTGCCAACAAGAAAGTGTGTGGTATGCGCAGAAAGCAAAAAACCACGGGAAACCAGAGACATGTGCAAGGACTGTGATTTGGCATTGTGTGTCGCACCTTGTTTTGAAATATTTCACACAAAAAGATAATATAAATAATAATAAAAACCATGTATTTGCTTACTAAAGTGTTTTGTGTTTGCTTTGTAAGTTTGTAGTGTTTCCTTTTTTTAATGAGTTTTCATGGCGTAGAAATAGCGCGTCTGACTTGTCAGCGCAAAGTTTAACCATACGTTTTTATTTTTGGTGTACAATTTTTACCCCGTGCTGCAAGCGTGTCTTCTGCTTTTGGAGGGAAAAACGATACTCAGCACAGGAGGAAGGATTAGCACTTGCCTGGCTTAGCACAGTGGTTACGTTAGCTAGCGGAGGGTGTAGCAGCGAAAGGGTTAAGAAACATATTTTCACGATAAAGGTTTGAACAAATTCACCGGATGTTACATGTTCAACCACCTAATCAAACTGCAAGCTGGCTGCCTAACAAAATAAAATAAAATTAAAGACATGACTCTTCATATGAAAGAACAATGTCTACAATTGTTTATTCTGCATCAAAATATTGTTGCAGATGAATGCACAATAAGTTTCAGGGAACGGACAGCATTAAAAATGTACAATCCTCAGAAACCTCACAAATGGAGTCTGCGAGTGTTTGCATTAGCAGACCGCCGCACAGGTTATTTATTCACTTTTGAGTCATATTATGGTTCTGCCACAACAAATCAGCTGCCATATCCAAGCCTGCTATTCACTGCTAGAATTGTTTTGCACCTCTGTAATGAAAAGTCTGTGGTTGTGGCCACCATTTGTTCACCGCCAAATATTACACAGGACATACACCTGCGATGGCATTATTAGATCAAGGTATCCACACTACAGGAACCTTCAGGAGCAATAGACAAGGTTTGCCACCTTTGATGAAGAAAAAGCACAAACTTTTGAAAGGTGATCTGATTGCATGGACACTGCAAAATAAAGAAATGGTTTTAGCATTGAAAGACAAAAGAGTTGTAAACATGCTAAGCACATACCATGATATTGCCACAACAATCATACAGAGAAGAGCAAAGAATGGTGGTACTGAAGATATCTCTAAACCAAATGCTGTCATTGACTATACAAAAAATATAGGTGCCGTTGCCCATTTTGATCATTACTGCAACAGCTATTCATTTACAAGAAAATCTCCAAAGTGGTGGAGAAAAATTTTTTTTCTGGCTGTTGGAAGTAGCTGTTGTGAACAGTTTCATTTAATAAAAAGAGACACAACCTGACAAGAGACACAACTTGACCACATAAACTATAGAAAACTGATCCAGCAGCTTGTTTCAGAACAATGAGCTTCTCAGCCCATTCATCGAAGAGGGCAGCGTGCATCAGCCCTGGTGTAAATCAGGTATAAACAGACAAAATGGTGGGACATCTTTTTCGTCCCTTAGGACGAAGGTTGTTTTAGGCACTAGCTATGTGTTTAATGTAATATTCGGAACATTACTGGGTTCTGGGCCGTGCTACGGAGTTTCGTGCTCGAGTGCCCAGCGTCCTGTGCTGAAATTTCATTCAAGGAAACCCTACAACGAGCGACAAGAACAAAGATCGGCAAACGTGCTGGTGCCGGCCGGAAACGTTTAAAATGTGAGAGGCTGAGCCTAAAATATGTTCGTGTGTTATACTGGAACTGTGTCTCGTTTAATCAGAGACAGCCTATTTTTGAAAATCTTCTTTACGGCAATGACATCGTAGCCTTGCAGGAAACACGTCTAGGAGACGAGACAGTTAAAGTTGCAGGTTTTCAGTGCTTCTACAATCAGCGGCATCTCGTACAGGTCATTATGGTCTGCGACAGCATGAAAGAGTCTCAAGTGGACATGTCTGAATGGAACAGTGACGTCCTGCAGGTGCACGCAGTGAGAGTGCTGGCCTTCTCCCTATTCATGATCGCCAATGTTTACGCCTGCAACGGAAAGGTTGACGTGCGGCAGTGGCAACATTTGTTTGGGACAGGAGAAAGAAACATCATTTATTGGGGAGATTTTAACGCCAAGGGCAGACAGTGGTGTAATGTCATCACCAATAAATAGGGGGAAGATCTGGAGGTGGTAGTAGTTGTACTGGTACTTGATGGATGATGTAGTAAATATTATACTGGCCGCATTTACTTATCATTACCATTCCTGCTACCCATTTTAGTCTGGGCGGACACTGATGCCAAGGTCAACTACAAAAAATTTCGTCAAGTGATGAATTTCAAATGCTTTGGAGACGGAGGAGAGATGTAGTTGGTGGATAAAGTGGGGGAGGGGAGGGCGGTGATGACAAACTGTTAACTGAGAGTGCTTAGAACATGATTTTAAAGTTTTTATTTTTAACCTTTTCTTTTAATATTTTACTAACGTTACCTCAGCTATTCTCATTTTTATTTATATTGATTGTTATTTATTGCGAATTAGTTGGTTATTTATAAATACAGTAGTAAGCTTTACTTTCAGCTCTTTAAAAAATACAAACAGCTTTAGCATGTGACAGAGAAATAACCCTTTTTGTTGGTCTTAATACACTTTACACAACCACTAATATAAAAACATAATTATATGTTGCATGTGAGTCGGCAAACCAGACTATCTCTTTATCTGAGCAGACAATGATTGAGAAATTAACCATAAGAGACACATGCTCTTTCTATTTTCTTTCTTTTTCATTAACCAAACTAAGTCACAGCAACGCGTGGCAGCGCACAGCTAGTATTAAATTTTTTTTAAAATTTGTTTACATTTAAAGTGGTGTAGGGATAACATTTTCTTTCTTTTCCTACCTTTCTCACAAACATAGAACACAATATTTCTTTTCCTACCTTTCTCACAAACATAGAATATCCTTTGAGGAATGGTGTTTTGAGTTTACCTGTGGTGTTATTTGTGTTGTGTTGTGCGAACAGTCTTATTACAAGGAAGAGCCAAGAAAGACCATTACACACAGCAAGGTAATTTGAAAATATTCTTTTATTTTATTACGATTTAAATAGGTTATTATCCAGTGTTTGAACGTAGCTGAACAAGGCACAGTGGAAGCAGTTTACGTGAGGTTTAGGTTATGTCAGTAGAGCAGTGTGAAGGTTAGATTAAAGCCTTCGGCAACATGGAATATCAGTAGTTTTTGAACCTTTCAAAATGGCAGTAAAAAATTTTTTTGTTGGTAAAAAAGATAGAAAAGTATGCCTTTCTCTCAGGTGCAACAAGTTTGGACATAAACCGATTAGCATACCAGATGAGTTCTTCCCCGTTTCAGAACACATAAGAAGAAGATTAGGTCAGAATGAAGAAGAAACTTGGGAAGAATTAAAAACAGACTTAGCACATATTGATGACACAGACAAATGGCTTGTTCCCTTTTATTACAGATTAAACAGGAAAAAGAGGGAAGTATACGGAATTACTCACAGACTATAATAGTCTTGCAAAAAATGTGTTTCTGAAAGAAGAGATACAATCACTGCAGACTCATCTGATTTTTATCAAATTTTAGTGATAGTTTCCAAGATAGTTTAATGAAACTTAGATTAATGTGTGCAAGTGCCACAACTCTAGATCGGGCGATCACTGTAATGCTTAAAGAAGAGACTAAGATGAAAAGTTATCCTTTAAACTGGAAGATGGAAAGAAGAAGAAGATATTAGAATAAAAGAGCCTTTAGAGACAGCCCATTACAAACTTTACACGCGGAGACATGTGAATGACAGTCAGAGAAACTTTCAATGTTCAGGCAGTAAAACAAAACTTGTTTCAACTGTGGCAGATCCCACAAATTTCAATTTAGCAGGCAGGTAGCCAGCCTACAGCACAGTTGGCAAGTAGCAGACCACATACTAAAACAGATTACAGAGGTGAAAAATCATGGCAGGTCAGTTATATAGGTCAGAGATCTAACCCACAAAATAGGGCTACCTGTTCTAAATTTAGCATCACTGAAACATCATGTACATAAAAACAACACTTAAGAGATTAGATGCCAGAGGAAAGAAATGATTCAATTAAGTGAGACCAGATGTGGGAACAACAGCTTGTGGCCTATGCAATGAGAAGCAATTGATTAAATGATTTAGGCATCTTGCTACACAAATAAGTTTCCAATACATGTGCTACAAAAAAGGAAAACTGATGCAGCAGAAGAAGGGTACCCAAGAAGCTGATGGATTGATGATATTAAAGATAGTGCACATGTGACAACAGTGACACACCACAAATGATTCCATCTCATGGTGCTTGACAGCAAAATTTGAAGATAATTTCTTTTCATTTTATACTGACGGTGTAGTCTAAATAAACCAAAACACCTTCTCCTCCACTTGTGACCTATAACGACCATCGACACTTATGACCATGACCACACAAAATAAGTAAACAAAGAAACTACGCTGGTAGGGTCAAGCGATTTCCAGAACCCATGCTCACAGCACAGAAGGATCTCATTTTCTGAACATCAATTAATTATTTTTTGTTTTGATTTGTGAACCATTTGTATATTTGGCTGAAGAAAAGCAATGTCAAAAAAAATATATATTAAACTTATGGCAGTTCAACTTCTGGCTTGTTACTCAGAACGGAATTCAGTTGTAATTCATGAAGACCTTCTAAAGCAGGGGTTCTCAACCTTTAGGTCGCAACCCTTTTGTAGGTCAAACGACCCTTTCACAGGGGTCACCAAAGACACATATTCGCTAAAGTTATTAAGTAGCAAATGAAAATAATTGTATGGTTGGGGGTCGCCACAGCATGAGGAACTGTTTTAACCCTCTTAGCACGGACGGGCCGATTATCGGCCGGCGGATGTCTTGCCAAATACACGGAACGGCCGATGATCGGCCCGATCGTGTTTCGCCTCGAACCGCTAAGAAATCTCCTACTTTGAAACACTGAAAGTGATTCATTTATATTAACTGCGGTATCAGCTTTACACATGGCGACTTTCGAGTGTTTGGTATCGAAGTGAAAATTGTTGTTGAATTTTTTAGATAGTGACCTGAACCGCTAAAAGTATGTCTGACTCGTATGTTTCTGCCCCTAAACTTGATGTTGATAAAACATTTGAATCAAGTGTGGACACTAATTCTGTTGATACTGATGCAGGATTTAGTGTTAGTAGTTATAGTGGGAATCAGATGGGGACGCTGTTGTGTTCAGACCACAGCCCAACCATGGCTCAGGGTATATCCACCCGAAGGTGTTGACACTCCGGCACATCCATTTATAGTGCTGACTGATGGGGAAAAACACATGTCACCTAAAGATATTATTGCTGTTTCACATATATATACCTGTTTTTGACTATTGAATTGCTTACAACATTTGTAAAAAGGCCAAAGATCAATAAAAAGATTTCAAATAAAAAAAAATTTTGTTTTTAGTTTTATGTTTCAAGCATTGAAGTTGAAAATTCAAATTCAAATTTTCTATTTTTAGATATGCAAATGAGATAATTTGCATATACATCAATTAATTTTAACGATATTGTGAAAATCACGAACTTCAATCTATATCCTTCAAATAGATATATTATTTCATAGGGGTCAGAATAACAGAAATCTGTCAAAAAAATTAAATAAAGTAATAACCAAATTTACTGAAAAATTGCTCCGTGTTTTTGGCTAGACCTCTGAAAAACTTCCCGTGCTAAAAGGGTTAAAGGGCTGCCTCGTAAGGACGGTTGAGAACCACTGCTCTAAAGATACACACACACACATATAGTTTTTTTTAACATTTGATTTTACCCAAAAACTAAATGATACCAGCAAATATTGAACCTAGCCACAAACACTAAAGATATCCAACAATTTAAGAATATCAGACACACTGACAATGCATGAAGGGGCTGACATGCACTGACACAATACCCAAGCCAAAATTATCTTCGAAGAGCAGATACAGCAGAAAATCCCAAAATCACAGCAGCTGCAGCTAAAGCTGCCAAGACAGTCAGCCCTGCAACACTGGAGTGTCCATCTGAAGCATTCAAACTTGTCTGGTTGTCTGCCAACAGTCTCTCTCTGGTGTCTGCCCAAATGTCTTTCAGAAATGGGATGAGACCTGCCAAAATATCAACATTTTATTTAATGTGGCTGTAAAAAGAAACTTTTTCCCCAAAGCATTAGATTTGTCAGCTTTCTTTTTGTTGTGTGTGTGCACGTGTGTGTGGGTATGCAAGTGTGTGTGTGCATGTGTGTGTGTGTGTGTGTGTTGTTGGAGTATGAGTGTTTGCTTCTGGTCAAAAGATAGCGAGTTCAAGTCTCAGCTAAGGGAATTTATCCACTGAACTATGACTAAGAAGCTTAACAAAGGCAAGAAGGGAAAAAAACACACACACACACATACAGGAACAATGGGAGGTTTTACAGCAGCCTTTATAGAAAAGATCACAACATAATGGGCGGGGGGGGGGGGGGGAGGAGAGGAGGGGATAGAGAGCAAGGCCGCAACAGGGAATGTTAAAAAAAATAACTGAGTTATCGTTATCAGTTATGTATAATATATGAGTAACGTAAATAATAGTGATTCATGTTCCTCCTTGGTGGTCAAGATAATCTCCCCCTTGTTAACAGAAAGTGTGTCCCAGTGTCTGGCGTAATTTTGTAGTTGTCTTAAAGCCCCACCCTGGCTGTTGCCAGGGGCCCTATAAAAAACCCAGCCTACGGGTTGAACAGGGTTTCTAGTACCTGTCCCCGGGTGATCCTTATCTTAATGGTGGCACTCTGTGTCAGCAGGTGTTTATCGCTCGGTATGTCCCGGTGGGGTAAAACGTCATAAACTTTTTTAATGGATGTTCATAATCAATCCATTACGCTGCCACTCAACATCTTTACAACTAAGTCTTCCCCTTGTTATTGTAGTTTCTGTAGATAAAGGCTGCTGCCCAAACATCTAATTGCTCCTGTTTGTGTGTTGTTTTCCCTTTCCATTTTCTCAGTCACAGTTCAGATGATTATTTTCTTGATACTAGCTTTACTGCAGTCGCCCATGTTTTTAATCACCCTAGAAGAGGGAAACATTAAAGTAAACTTTCCTTGAACTAATGGTTTCTACTAAAGTAATACTCCACTAGGTTCTCTTAAGTAGCTGTATCAAAAATCTACACTTCTGTGGTAAGTCTGAATAGGTCTATTACATTTAAACATTTTCAAACTGGTAAAAGATCATGAGTAGGCCATGAAGCTACCGCTAGGGCAATTTTAATTTTTTTGAAGAGACTAGGTTTCTGTCTGTCTCACACACACAAATTTGCAGAATCAATCTTGGATTCTTGTTAGTACTAGTCCATGCAATGTGTCGCAGTCTTTCCAGTGTTGTTTACCACTTCGAATGCTCCATACTTAGACCTTAAGCCAACTTGTACTTTAAGTTCCTGATTGAAAAAACTCAACTTTGGTGTCATCAGGGTTGCCTAAAGTGCAATGATGTCAGTTCTTAACCCAGCTTGATAGGGAAGTATATTATCTGTCTGTTTCAACCATTTTGAAATTCACAAACAAAATTCTATATGAAAAGTAATGTATGCTACTTTAAGCCTTCAAGCATACAGTATTAACCTGTAATATGATGCCCATATCTTACAAAAGGCTTATGGTAAATAAAAGTAAGGAACTGTGAGGCACTCTGACATGGTTGTTATAGCCATCTGCTCTCACTTAACAGAAAACAGGCACATACAGAAATCCAAAGAAAAACAGACACAGAAACAAACTGGTGGGTGGACACAGCGACAAAGAGAAAGAGACCAGACTGGACTTACTTGTGCCACCAGTCCCCTTATTATCCAGACTTTCATAGTTGCCCTCATTAGCTTTCTTGGCAGGTAAGACAACATACCTAAACATGAATCAAACAATCAATGACAGATGAAAACTGGCTCAATGTAACCAAATAATGGAAACAAGCTGCCAGAAGATCCAAATGACAATGGTACCTTGCCGCAGGAACAAGTGTTATCATACCAGGATATTTGAATGGTTTGATACACAATATGTCCATATTCCACACCTGTTGGCTTATATGTATAGCTAAGAATGACATTTTTTTTTTTCAGGGATGTCTTGTTAGCCATAATTTTTTTTTTTTTTAATACACTTGTTCTGCAGGCAGACACCACTGTCATATGGTGACAGTATGTTTAAGTTCCAGTATGATAACTATAGTTTTCTGTTAATAAATAATGTGTCCTATCTCTACTTCTGTCCTCTGTTTCTATCAATGCCAATCAATCCATGCCAATTTATTTATGTTTTTATGAGGGGTTCCCTGTGATTTACCCTCTCAGCGATGTTTAGTAAAATCATGTGGTTGCTATACAACTCTCTCCTTAAAACTCATCCCACAGTAGAGTATAAATGTGAACTTTTAAAGTGGATGTTCAAACTTATCCCACAGTGGATTATAAACGTGAACTTTTAGAGTGGATGTTCAAACTTATTCCACAGTGGATTACAAGAGGGAACTTTTAAAGTGGATGTTCAATCCATCATGCTTCCACTCAACATATTTACAACTTACATTTTCACAATCTGAATGTGGTAGTCCCTGAGTTCAGTCAGTGTTGATATTGCATGATTGTAAGCAGCCTTGACAACCTGGTTACTGCTGGATGTCACTAAGAGCAGCAAATGAAACAAAAATATTCAACAAATAATTTATTTCTGTGGCATATATATATATTTATATGTGAAACATAGCATGCCATTAGCAAACAGTTAGTGACCATATTCCTATTTAATTCAGTAATAATTCCAGTGGGAGCTTCTGTGGTGCAGCAGCTAGATGCTCAGCTGCAGAGTGGAAGGTCGAGGGTTCGAGTATAGTCCTGGGAAGTAAAGGCACCTGGCATGATGTTGTTAACCACATCACCCACAGCCACACTGCAAGAAACATAATCTAAAGCTTGTTGGCTAGCTTGCGTGTGCATGGAAGATAAAACAGCCTGCACATGTGTAAGAGAAAGAGAGAGAGAGAGAGAGAGAGAGAGAGAGAGAGAGAGAGAGAGAGAGAGAGAGAGGGTGGGCAAATGGGCTAACATGCATGCACAGGGAGTCACTTTCACTTTTTCTCTCTTTCTAGTGTGTGTGTATGTGTGGAAAGAGAAGTGTGTGGGGCAGAAGGAGGGGGGGGGGGTGTTAGTTGCTGCAAATGTTTTATTCAAAATTCGTTTTATGCCAAACAATTTAAGTTGTGACTTATAAGTGATAAGTTGGACTATTTTCCTGGCACTCAGTATATACATAGGTGCCCAGATCAACCCCCCACATAAGATTTATCATCCTGTGGTTAGTATCAGTCCTATGCTGGGGATGCTGGTTAAATGTGACAATTTTTGTTCTTGTTTTTCCAAAACCGGATGATGATGATGATGATGCTGGCTGACAAGACTTTTCATCTGGCTTATGTGTGCCTTCCATGCTTGGATGTAGACACGCTACTACCAAAATCATCTGATCATCTTATTGCTCTAAGGACATTATGTCCACAATGTCAGTTCGATCTGTAGGACAGCCATCTGCAAACTAAGGTAGAGCCGGCCACTCTGTCAGCTCTTTCATTGCTGCTGCCACCAGTATATTCTGGGAAAAGGTGAAGACAACTCCACAAACAGTAAAGTTTAGTAATGAATCAGTCCACTGTCTGCGTACACAGCCTGCCTAGATCTGCTGGATCATGCTCATTCAGCAAACGAACATGGGTGTACCCTGTGGTTACATCCTCATCCATGTTGCTAGTCATCATAAAGACGGCACTTTTAGTTTCCTAGACTGTTCTACCTACAAAGTACACAGTGGTCTTTTGAAACAGACCCCTCTGTGCAGATTAATGAAGTTGTATTATCATAACAGGGAAAGGTTCAACTTCTGGGTGAAAGGATTCCCTTTGACATTTTTACATCATCAATTTTCCAGTCTACTAATGCAAATGAGGTACTATAGCAGCTGAAGAAATTATTGAAATCATCAGTTCAAGTTTCATCCTCAAATGAGGACATTCACCACCAGGCCCAAACCCTGTGGGACTGAAGTCAACAACCCCACTTAATGTGCATCAGATGTCTGTGGAAAGCAAAGTGTTATCACTTTCAGCTCTAGAAGTCAACAATCCCACTTAATGTGCATCAGATGTCTGTGTGAAGCAGTGTTATCAATTTCCGCTCTAGAAGTCAACAATACAGGTCTTCATGAATGTTATTTAACTTTCTTAGTAATAACATCTGTATACCTTTCAAGTGTTTTTTTTTTTAAAGAATGTGTTGACAATTAATAATAGCTCGCATGTCTCTAAGCTTTTATTTTTTTTAATAGAATGTGTTGACATTTGCTTTATTAGAAACAAATTGATAAATGGTAAATGATGTATGCCTGTGAGTATTTCATTCAATTTAAATGTATGTTTAGATTTTAAAAAAGCAAAACCTTTGGTTCATAACAAGGAAAAAAAAATAAACTGACCAAAGTCCCTTAGGGTGTACGGTAGCTGTTCTATGTACTCAATAAGATGTTTATGTTCTGGAGGCATGAATTCCCTCATTCTCACAAGGAACTCTCGTTTATCTGTTGGCAATAAATACATAATGGTGTAAAAAACATTCGCAGATGAATTGATGCACTCAAAGTATGCAAAGAAAGCACATTACAACACATGCTATAAAGGCTGAATATTTAAACTACTTCTTCACGTTCACCAGCTGTAAACTCCAACAGAAGGTTCTGTGTTGGTTGTGTGTCCCCTTCTGAAACTTTGGTCTTGTTCCTGTACTTGAGTTTTGAATGCACATCTGTTTTAAAAATCTGGCTTACTTTTATACAGACTGCTGACAGAGTGGCCTCTCAACCAGATTCACCACTAATGAGTCTTTTAAACGACATGCTTGTGGGCAGGGGAGGGGGTCCCCACTTATCCCAATGGGGCTGTGGAATCCAAATGGAGAAAATGTTTAAACAATCAGTTGATCAACAGATCATCAACATTACACTGTACATTGAACCATTCAGCCCACAAGAGATAAATCCCCTGCTCAGTAAACCTTACAGCATGTAGCAGCTGATGACACCAGTCATGTGTTGGTTTATTATTCACTGGCATCCTGTTTAGTGCTCCTCCTCACCCCTTTGCAACTGCTGCAGGCTGATCATGGTTGCAGATTCAGTTATCACGAGATTCTCGCAAATGTCTTACTTCTTTTAGAGCATTCAGTATTAATCAGGTTGATTATTTCTCCTTCCTCCAAGCCTATCAGCTTGTTCAAATAACTGTTTAAACAACTATAAAACATAAGAGATACTGTAGTAGCTAAATTTGCCCTGCCAGCCCAAAAGTTTTATGATTGTAACAACATAATATAACCTTTGACCCACTAGGGTCATGGAGATGTATTTATGGAAGCACTAGCACATAAACCCGCCATATCTCTGTCTTCCTCTTATAAGTTAGGAATAAGTTAGCCCTGTCCATTTCTTGATGTTGTAGGATCGTAATGCAGTAATGTTCACCTGCCAGCCCAAAAATCTTAGGGTCGTAATGCACTAGCTAAATGTTCACCTTCTAGCCAAAAAGTCTTAGGATTGTAATGCAGTAACTAAATGTTCATCTGCCAGCCCAAAAGCTTCCTAGAGTCATAATGCAGTAGCTAAATGTACATCTCTCATCATCTGATCGTCTGGTACTTTGTGGTGTTAAGTATAATTTATAAGGAAAGTGCCCATTTGTTCCCTTTGTAAATGGAGATTCCCAGGGACTCTGTTATTTTCTCTTTTCATCGTTTGCATGGGTGGCATTTCTTGGCTTCCCGCCTGGTCCGAACATCAATGCTTCCTGTAGTATACTGTCTGCTGACATCGACATATATGGCCAAAACATTCCACCTGTGGTCTTCTGATGAAATGCAAAGCTGCCACTAACCCCATTCTCGTTCAGTTTTCATCATTCCTGTTTTTCATAATTTCCATACAAATGTTTACTATATGTTTATTAGATGGGTCTTATCATAGTGACAAAATATTACATTATGGCAACGGATAGTATTTGCTGTGGTAACTAATGACGATTTGTAGATATTTTATTATGACATTAGGGCTCTTCGTGGTGAAGTAGCTAAGCCACTTGCTCATGTTCCAAAGGCCACAGCTTGATTTCAGACTTTGCCTTCTGGCTCGTGAGTGCAGATATTTCAGGACCTCAGGTCACAACTGAAACTTTGCAGTTTAATCAATGCATTCCGTGAAATGCTCTTGGTGGATGACTTAGTAGCAGTAAACTGGCCATAGAATTCAGTACAAAACAAGCTGACATCACCTGTAAAAAGCCCTTTATGGCAATGAACTACACTAATAAGATGGATACAATCTAATGAGCAAAATTTACTATGATAATGTTTGATAACTAAAATGATGAAAATGATCATCTTGCCTTCAAGACCCTTTAAATTCTACATCCTGAAAAACTGTTTCACGATTATTAATAGCTGAGTAAGGTACCATGTATTTAATTTTATTCGTTCCTAGAATCTCTTGATTGCATGTTTTTTTTATGTGCAAGGACTTTAATGAATAAATGTTCCTTTAATAAAAAAAAACTATACTGTAAGAAATTTTAGCAGACAACCTTGAATATGTTTAATGCCAAGCAAAGCATCCAGAACCTGCAGCGTTGTACTTTGTGCTGCACTGCCTCCCGTCAACTAAGAAGAACATATTTGACAAAACAAATTATGCCAAATGAATAATAAAAAACATCAAATACTGAGTGATAAAAGATGTGGTTTTACAGAAGAATTATGTGGGCCAGTAAACACTGATATGAAGATATCTAGAAAGAAATTCAAGTGACAAAGAAAACCAACTACCTAAATGAGAAGAAGGTGATCAACATTCTATGGGCATATTTTGAGAAGGGAAAGCAGGGGTACATCATGACAACAGAAAAAGTTACCAGAGAACAAAGAGAAAGAGGATGTCGAGTCTGACATCATGGTTATGGAGAAATATCTGTGTTAAAACAATTACTGTGGTATTACACAAGACAGAAAGTCATGTGCATGTCACAAGAAGTGGAAAACTGGTGTACAAACAGAAAAGTCAGATAAGAAGAAAGCCAGAAGATGAAGAAAGAGCATGGTGGGACAGTCTGGCACCATGGTATAGAAGAACATCTGCATCATAAATTAGCATTACAGAGAAGGTAGGCCATGATGAGAATGCCATATTAAGAAGAATGTCAACACACACACAGACAAATATTGTTTAAATGCTAATAATCTTCCCTCTGGGCAATTAGGCTGGAATCTGTTGACAATGACAGATCAATTCCTGTGGAGGAAACACAACTAATCTAGACATAGTTCCATACATACTGTGCTTCCTTCTTCTCATTGTGTCCCCATATGGGTTGTCAACTGATGGTTTGACCATCATGAGATTAGAAAACTTCAGGGTCAGCCAACTGGAAAAGTTATATGTGAGGCACCTAAATGACTACACCAGGTTGGTGAAACCTGCAGTCCTGTTCGAGTAAGGAACATGCCATGATCTGTGCTAAATTATGACCTGCAAGTGTCCTCTGATGCCCTTCGGCAGATGTGAGGCTCCAGAACCAGTCTTACTAGTACCACTGATTTTGAGCCTAGGGAGAAAGAGAGCTCTACATCACAGTCCTGTGTAGACGGTAAACTGGCATAAAGTCAGGAATAAAGTCTATATGTCGCCTTCCCTTTGGCAGCTGCAACCCCTTTTCTAGGCTCAGGCCATCTGACTGCCAATGCATTGGGCATATAGTTAAAACTCAAGTCTTCTAGAAGATTCCCATACAGCAGTCATCAATGACTGCAGAGTAGGAGTAACAAACTAAATAGGCGCAAATATAGCAGCCATGCTGTAAACATGCAAAATACAATTCACATCAATCAATGGAGGACAGAGGGTGCAGCTAATACCAGCAAAAAAGTTGAACAAAACCATTACTCAAGACACCCAAGTAAATCAAGATAAATACAGAAAACCAGACAACCCAGTAACAGTGTGACAGAATAAGAAGAAACTTTTCAGATTTCCAAAAATTATGAATTATCTGTGGCCAACCTGGCCTCAGAAAAAGGGTGAGACAATTTTCGGAAAGCTAATGAGGAATGGAATAACAGAGCACTATAACTTTTGCCATAGCCTAGAATATGTGAAAGTTTAATAATTCACACTCCATTGAGGCAGCTGCTATGGAACTACCTCTACCTTTATGTAACTATCCCCCCCCCCCTTTCTTTTTGTAACCCTATTTATTGAAAGAGTATTTTTTTTTTATTACTAATATTTTTTTTTAAAGACAAGACAAATCTATTTCAAGGAAAAGCATACTTTGACTGGAGTATCAGAAATCCCCTCATAAATCAGTCCCTCTGGAAGTGGGTTGGTGTCTCCTCCCCATCTGCATGTTTTTAAAAAAATAAAGATAACAGACATATCATCAGCAGTGTACGAATAAAAGTCTCAAGAAAAATTGTTGCCATGACAAGTCTCATACCCTGATTCTGGATCAGAATCTGGGATACAATTTGTTTTATTCTAGTCCTCACCCTGTCATTAGCTATCTTTGTTAATTGCAGCTCGTATAAATTCAACATTTTCTGTTCTGCTTGTTGCAGACCTTCCAGAAAGGAGGTCATATTTAACACTTATCATCTTTAAAGTGTTTGCCCCATATTCTTATTTTTGATGCACTCACTGCATCACTCCCCAAAAGTATTTTGAATCATTCAAATAGTTTCTGCAGAGGAATGTTGAAACAAAATATCTGATGCAAATTCATTGCTCTCGCTGCTCAACCCTTTTTAAATTTTCCCGACAACACAGCGGACACGCTCATGAAAAGTTACAACCGCAGTGACTGGTACAGCAACATTCCTACATATGTGCAACACAGGCCAATATTTATCTGCCAAATTAAATTGATGAAGCACTTATAATTCTCTTTCCTATTATGTATGGCTTGTTCTTCTAGACAGAACTCTTATATAAACATACAGTCACATACTGATATGTAATATCATGCAGTGAATAGTTTAAGCACTGCATCAGAAATGTCAATAAAATATAACAGTATGAAATAAAACTGTGGAGTTTATGATATGAATATAACTACCAGAAAGACACAAATACATAAACAATAAATTATTTGAAAAAATTTCTTCCTTCTCTGGCCTTCATTCCCAAAGGCAGCAAAAGCTTTCAACGAGCTAATGCCAAGTGTTCCAACCCTCTGCCGTCACATACAACTCAACTCATGTCCTCATGTCCTTCATATGTGGTTTACCTAAATCTCTATTCTCTTCTCTGGTTGTTTACTCATCTCCCTTTTATTTATCTGAATTTGTGGATTCCATTATAAACAACAATGGTAGGTTATTTTGTCTCTGTAAACCTAGAAAGATTTAACAAGATGTTCATTTTAAAATTTTTTTTTTAATCCTGCTAAATGGCTTGAAAATATTAATACTACCAAAGAGCCTGTTATAAGACACTTACCCACTAAGAAATGGCCGTATCACATTAAAGAACACGTTTGCTTCAAGATTATCTGAAATATACAGGGTATATAACCATCATACACAATACAGAAAAAGAAATAAGAATTTTAAAACCTACAAGTTTAACTTTGAAAAATGCTGCTAACTCGTGTGATAAAGCAAATCAGGTTATGGGACAATTAACACCGCTTCTGACACATAGAAGAAAGATACCCCTGTCAACTAAAGCAAATCTAATTAGAACAGATTTTTTGCCGACATTTTGCTACCAGTGCCAAACATGGACCTTTGCTACAACTAATGAGCAGAAGATTGTAACAACAGAGATGAGATTCTTAGGAGAGCTGCCGGGGTGACAAAGAGATAAGATCAGGAATTAAGAAATTAGACAAAAACTAGGACTGAAACCAGTCATACAATTCATTAAAGATCAACAAATGAGATGGTTTGGCCACCTGACGAGAATGCCCTGGTACCAACTGTCAGAGAGCCACACTGAAGAAATATAATGAACACAGAGCAAGGGGGAGACCAAGCAAGAGATGGAGCGACACTATCAGGAGCAACCTAACAGAAATGAATATTAACTTGTACAATGCATTGGAAAAAGCGCACAAACGAACCTCACATCTCCACCCAATACCTCGCTGAAGCAAATGGTGGAAGAAAAAAAAAAGAAGAAGCGAACTCTTGGGTCATAATCATGTATAATCTGGGTCGTCCACTTACTGGCTGGTAGACGGTCTCGTTGTCGGTGGGGACAGTATTTGGGTCTGTCTCTTTGATTGCATCAACAATGCAAGAGTCCTTTTTAGGGCAAATAACCTAGTCATAATTATAACCGAAAGATCCCACATCGAGGATGCTGTTTGAACGTCACAAATTTTAAATTTTTTTGTTTGTTGGTTGTTGCTCAAAATCAAATTGGATCGAAACAATAAAGAAACTATTGTTGCTTTTTTTATTTTTGTGGTCATGACTGTGGCTTTTATTTTTAAGTTGTTTAGCTACTGTACTCTCTTCACAATTTATGTGACCATGCTGTCTATCAATTCCTGCAATTTATTTTTGAGTCCGGAAATATAAGATATAATGACCTAATTATAACTGACTTATGAAAGACTGAAGGTAGTAGATATAAATCACATTTCTTAAAAAAACAACTAGCTGGCTCTCTCTTACACACACTCATGCATGCAATATGTGCACATTCATATACAGTGACAGGAGAAACAGACAGACAGAGCAATTATACTTTAAAATCACAAAACAGGCACGTGATCCTACCACGCATCCTGGCTAATGAATCCTGCATAGTGTTCATAGCTGTGCTCACTTGCTGTAGGCACTGGGATACTTCAGTCTCTGTCTGCTCCTCATGCCTTGCCACACCAGCACTGAGATTACCAGCTGAGCCCAACAGTTCTAGAATCCTCACTATAGACTGGGGGTATACATAAATTGATTTCAGTAAACAAGCAATGTCAGTCGTGGCAGCACAATGTCTTACTTATTTTCATAACTGTGTGTGCAGCTGCTGTATCTACTGATGATCTGTGGCAATGCTAGTGGCAGATATTTGTGCATTTTGGCAACTCCAATTACTGCCTTATGCATTTAATGCTTGTGTATGCTACTGGCATTGCCTAGACTGCAGTCTGTTTAAAACTGTTCATAAGGCACAGTGATAGGACTCTCTGAAATCTTTGCTTGCACAAACTGCAATTAACTGACTTTTCCAAACTTATTTTCAGTATGCAGGAACATAGCCGATGAAGAAATTAACATCAGATGCAGTAAAGCAAGTACTGGGACAGTCCGCCCCATCCCCCCCCCCCCTTCTTACAGCATAAATCAATCCTGATCAGCACAAATAAATATCTCATACAAAGCATATTAATTTCTACTCTATGCTACCTTGCCAGGCATGGCACCCACAACAAACTAGAAAATAAAATTAGTAACCAGGGAAATGAGATGTTGGAGAAGGTCTGCAGGACTGACCAGAAAAGATCAAATCAGAAATGAGGTCAAAGAGAAAATGTCAGCACAGAACCAACTTTAAATTACATACAAAGTCAGCAAATCAAGTGGCTTGCCAACAGTGAAAGAAAGCCCTGTAGCACTGTACCATATAAGGAACACACCAAAAGAGGACGACACAGTGAAAGAATACCTTGTGGCACCATACCATACAAGGCACACACCAAATGAGGTCGACACAGAGAACATGATAATCAAGAAAAAATGAAAACATAAGAAAAACTACAACAGTTTGATGTGTCTATGGCCAAGATGGCCAGGAAAGCAAGTAGCAGAACAACTATCTCCCTAAACACCCAAAAGTGGTAAAACAGGAAGTGAAGGAGAAGGTAGACTAGTCACATTACACCCTGACCTCCACATAAGTAATTAGACATAAATTACATTTAAGACACGGAAAAACCTAGTCTTAGTTTTGTCTGTGTTAAGCTGTAACTTTTTTGTACACTACTGCCAAAAAGACTTATTTACATTTTTTTTAGAAACTGTCAGCTGGAGTCAGTGGTTTACTGTCGCTTCAAGGAATATGAACATCACGCTAAGCTCAACCATAAACTGTGATCACACAGATACAGGAGCTAAAGCATTATAACTCGGCCTTTTATGTCATCATTCTCCAGCCGAGATCTTCTGTCAAGCTAACTGTTATTCTAAGTTTCTACAATGTATCACAATCTGTGCAACAAGGTTGAATAAAGCAGCGCCAACAACAGTGAATTTGTGAGATGGGGCAAGAAATACCTAGGAGAATGAAGACTAGTTCACATGGGACAAGTTCACATGGGACTAGATTCACGGTTCTAGGAAATCCTCTGTGACAGTATTAGGAACAGCTTTTTGGAAAGCACCTGGCATGTCAGATATAAGTCACCAAGTGGCAGAGTGGCTTAGATGTTATATTTGTCTTAGGCTTGTGAAAACCTTGTTTAGCAGTGTGAACTATATTTTTTTATTTTTTTTTTTACAAAATTTCATATTTCCCCGATTTAAAGTCTGATCTTTTCAGGCAGGGCCAAAAAATTCAAGAGTGTGTTTAATTGAAGACAATCTATTTTATCCCACAGAGTGCTGGTCACTCACAAGAGCTGCAAAAAGCACAAACTCTACAGCTCCATTGATGATCTTCAGAAAGTGCTGGAACATATGCCTCCTGAACCAAAAGTTGAAGTCTAAAACAACCTAAAGCCTTTAAAGCACAAGACAGATTGACTGTTTCACCTTAAAAAAAACTTTAAAATTTCGTTTACAAGAGGAAGATATGCGCATTGTTGGCACCTCTCCATCTTTATCACAACCCATGGTGATAGTGAGTGTGACTAGCAAGTTCTGCTTGCATTAGGAAAAGACTACCACAATTAGAGCACAGATTTAAGGACCACTGTTGCCTCCTTGTGACAGCACAGAGCCAAGGCAGGATTGTGGATTCGTTGCCCATGAAGCGTGATCATGCCCTCAGCCTGCTCCATTGACTCCAAAGGGAAAAGTAACAGGTATGTTTCGAACAAAGATTGCACTTTAACAATCATTCAGTGATCCTAAGAGAAAGTGAAAACGCTGCTGCCCACACTAAATTACAAAGTACACCCAGAGAAAGAATACATCTATAAGTGCAATTATGGAATACACACACTGAGGAGCAGCTTGCAGACCAGTTAAGACTGCTTTCATGCACGAGACCCAGGTCTAAATCCTCGGTGAGGTTAAGGATTGTTCCCTGCTGGGGGCAAAAATACAACCCTAGCTTGCAGTCTGCAGCAAAAGCACTATTCATGCGGCCCTAAATCCTCAGACTCAAAGATCCCTTTACCTGCACCGCAAAAGTGGTAAATGCAGGAGGTAATGATCTCCCAAAAAAATACAGCTGACTCTCCTGCGGTGCTACAGTTTACGCAGTGTGCTAAGAGGCTTCTTGTGTTATCCAAGAAAAGGGACTGATCCTTAACAATAAACAAAATCTAACATCTGTTTGCCAGATATGTGCATCTACTGACTAAATGTTACTAACTCATGTTAACAAACTAACTTTTCTAGACTTTGGTAAAACTGTTTAGCTGTGTGCACATCTCTTCCTTTCACCAAAAAACTTAGTCTTAGTTTTGACTGTTAATTTTAACTATTTTTGACACTACTACTAAAAAGACTTATTTACATTTTTTTTTAGAAACTATTAGCTGGAGTCAGTGGTTCACTGTCGCTTCAAGGAATATGAACATCACGCTAAGCTCAACCATAAACTGTGACCACACGGATACAGGAGCTAGAGCATTATAACTCGGCCTTTTATGTCATCATCCTCCAGCCGAGATCTTCTGCCAAGCTAACTGTTATTCTAAGTTTACACAATGTATCACAATCTGTGCAAAAAGGTCAAACAAAGCAGCACCAACAACAGTGAATGTGTGAGATGGGGCAAGAAACACCTAGGAGAATGAAGACTAGTTCACATGGGACTAACTACACTGATCAAGGAAATCCTCTGTGTCATTTAGGGGATACAGTATTAAGTACAATATTTTGTTGAGCAGCTGGCACACAGATATAAGTCACCAAGTGGTGGAGTGGCTTAGATGTTACAATATTTGACTGTGGCTTGTGGAAACCCTGTTCAATTTACAGTAGGCACTATATTTTTATCAAAATATGAACAAAATTTAATATTTGTCCTCATCTTGTAGCAGTGAATTCAGCTCAGACAGGGACCAAAAACTTAAAGCGGGTGGTTAAGGGGAGAGAATCTACTAAATTCCTCAGAGTACTGGTCTAGATATGATATGACCTCCATGAAGCTCTGGAACACTTGTACTCATGAGCCAAACGATGGAGTCCAATAATGGACCTAAAACTTTCAGAGCAGAAGACAAACGGCTTGATCACTTCACTGTTGGCACCTCTCCATCTTTCTAAAGGACAGTGTTATACTGTGCTTCAGGAAGGCGAGACAGTCTATGGTGGAGGTAAGTGTGACTAGCAACACCTGCCTGCATTAGGAAAAGTCTACCATAATTACAGCATGGTTTTTAGGACCACTGTTGCCACCTTTTAATAACATAAAGCCTAGACAGGATTGCAGAAACCATCTTATGACCACGAAGTATGATCCCTCTCTTGACCTCTTGTTTATTCCAAAGGAAAGGTCACATTGATTTGATGTTTTGAATAAAGATTACATACAAACAATAAACTATTTAAATATTCCAAAGAGCAGGTCAAACAGCTGCTTTCCATTCTAAATTTTAAAGTACCGCCAGAGCAACAATATAAATTTTAAGAATGATTATGATATATACACATTTGAATCCTCAGTAAGTGCTACAGCTTGCGCACAGTACTGACAGCCTCCTTTCTTTGTGTGATCTTAGGGAAGGGACTGAAGTACTCATGGACATATATATCTGTATGCAGACACACAAAAGGGGATCCTTAGCAATAAATAAACAAAATCTCACCAACATGTTTGCCAGATTAGTATACTGACTAACTATTTACCAATTCAAGCTAACAAACTAAGACTCTTTTTAAACATTTAGTTGTGTGAACACTTTCTTCTTTTCTTTCACTTAATATTCTGCACTGTGTTAAGTTGTAAATATTTTTTTAGACTACTGCCAGAAGGTTTATGCAAATAAAAAATGATCGTTTGTCAGCTGGAGTCAGTGGTTCATTGTCGCTTCAAGGAATATGAACATCACGCTAAACTCAACCATAAACTGTGACCACACGGATACAGGAGCTAGAGCATTATAACTCGGCCTTTTATGTCATCATCCTCCAGCTGATGCTAGCCCTTATTTGTATAATAATTAGAAGATCCTGAAGTTTGGCATCATGGCATGGAGGAACATCTGTGTCAGAAATGATTAAAAGTACACAAGACAGAAGGCTGTGGACAGATATGACTACTAATGACATACTATAAGATGACAATATAAACACAGATCTGCAATAATACCAAATTAACACCAAGAAGCTACAGTATCAGATACCTTCTAAAGTAAATAGTCAATTATTAGAATACACAAGGAAGGATACATTCAACATGGATACACATAACATATAAACTTTACAGTACAAAGCAGATTGAAACAAAGTATGCTGACATTCTTAATATCAAGTAACTGACTCCAGCATTCCATCTCTGGAGGTAGAATAGGTCCGTAACTAAGTAAGCTGTATTTTTCTATCTGTAGACTTCTCAACAACTGGTGGAATTATGCAGCAAGTTGTCTGCAGGACGGGTAGCCAGTCTTAAATCAACCATTTCGGTCATACTTTATTTATGACCTGCATGGTAAGTTCCACTGTTACTTATTTTTGCTTTACTTATCAGAGTGGTAACCTACATGCACAGTAAATTTATTTCTATTATCTGTAGCCAGTCTTTTACAGAACACTGCTCTTATAGCAGGTGGCAAGGACACATAAGCTACTGCCAACTTTCCTGATTCATGATCTTACATACCCAAGATGTCCTTGAAATCCTATGTCCACTGTCATGCTTACTGATCTCTGCTGCTTTGTCCAACAACCCTACTATACCCTCCATTAGTGTACAGTTTTAAAAAAAAAGGTAATGTTACCTGCATGCATTTAGCAAAGCTCAGCTCCACCATAAATGTAACCATACAAAACCAGTCTGCAGCTTTTCCACCAGGAAGATGGTATAAACATTCCAGGTTCCTGAAAACAAGAATCAGCAGAGGAAATGTCTGGGTGTATCCTTAAAACTGGTTGCATGAATTAATGAATCAATCAATAACTGAGACAACTGCGCTTGGGGCATTCCCACACATACTCTATCCCCTTCGTTAGTGGTCAATGAAACGTTCTAATCTGCAATCTAATTAAAAGTCCACCTATCTTTTCCATATGCACTGAACACTCTCCAGATCTGCTGCCTGTTGCCCTGGTGAATGAGTCTTTTGATGTATGTTCCATTGCTTGGTCCACTTGATCCCAGAGCGCCTTCACCAAGTCCATTCTATTATAAAGTTGCTCACTGCCCAGAGGCATGACTTCAGTAAATCTATCAGTGCCCAGAGGCATGACATCAGCCAATCTATTAGTGCCCAGAGGCATGACATCAGCCAATCTATCAGTGCCCAGAGGCATGACATCAGCCAATCTATTAGTGCCCAGAGGCATGACATCAGCCAATCTATTAGTGCCCAGAGGCATGACAGCCAATCTATTAGTGCCCAGAGGCATGACATCAGCCAATCTATTGGTGCCCAGAGGCATGACATCAGCCAATCTATTAGTGCCCAGAGGCATGACATCAGCCAATCTATCAGACTGCCGATTGCCTTGCACATCAGAATATCCAAGATATGCTCCTGATTTGCCTTATTAAGCGTTGAGAGCCATTCTACACGTAGGACACCAGTCTCTATTTTCAAAGCATGTTCTCTCAGTTTATCACAATTATAACAATTAAGACTACTACTCTCCAGCCATCGTAAAACTGTGGTTACTGCCTCCACCTCCATTCTCATGTTTGATGTTGTGACATTATACATGGGGCTCTCCTTCTTCAAACAATCGCAACTGCAATGAAACCCCACCCACGCTTCATCACCTGTAAATACAGATTCATCCATGTATATAATGATGTAGCATGGGTGGGAACTGTCATCAGTTGCTGCACTGATGCCTGTCTCACCAACTAGCTGTGATATCAGGCTGTGATTACAGGTTCTTTCAATTTAAAAAAACTGACATGCGTTCATGGTACTAATGAAAAGTAAGAAATCAAAACAAAATAAGATGTATGGTTATGTGTATTTTATAATGACTGTTGCTAAAAAAAAAACAAATCTTCCTGCCTAATCTTTATCCACAATGAGAGAATGTTAACCAGTTGTTGTTTTTTTTCTGGTTAAGGTGTGTTAGCAAGCCTGATTTTCCAGTGTGGATGGATATTCTGAACAGGAACCGACTTCAGTTAAGCCATTTAATACAGTATCTGTGTAGTTACTGGCTGATGAAAACTGTTTAGCAGCAATGTTTTTTTTCTCACAAGTGACTGTCTTTCTAAGTTCAAAGATACCAACTATTATTTGCAACTACTTTCAGATGTTCAGGACACTCTCGGTTTGAATTAGTTCACTGATGACACTACAAGCACAAGGGGAAAGCAGGGTGAAAAGTGCAAATAATAAAATACTTAAACGGAACAATACTACAAAGCAAAACTATAATAATTCAAGATATTAAAACATTATCAGTGGCCAGACATGCACACTACTTGCAATATACAAATCACCAAACAGTTTCTTATCTTCACTGAAAACATTTAATATAAAGGAATTAAAGAAATACTCACTCGAAATCATAGGGTCTGTAGAAAAGAAGAAGAAAAGGAAATCATTAATGATTTTCAAATAAGGTAACAAGCAGTAAGGGGGTCAATGTTAATTGAAATGCCAACTGGCAGCATGCCAGTTTGCATTGGAGCTGATAATGGTATGAGCATCAATCACTGACTAGGAAAATACAATGTACTTAATGTAAAACTGCCTAATAAAACCACACAACAGCCAATATGTGCTAGGGCTGATTTGCGAAGTTCTGAAAAGGATATGCAACTGACTTTTCTGTCAGTTGCTGGGGATGAATATGCTTCTACCCACTTTGCAATCACCAACAACGTATCTATGTAAAGAACAACATATGTAAAGGCAATGTATATATTTTAGATGCAGCTGGAGTCAGTGGTTAATTGTCGCTTCAAGGAATTTGAACATCATGCTAAGCTCAACCATAAACTGTGACCACACAGATACAGGAGCTAGAGCATTATAACTCGGCCTTTTATGTCATCATCCTCCAATTGAAAATGTCTGCCTTACTTATGTGGGTTCAGCAACATGTATCTAAGTAAAGCACAACATATGTAAAGGTAATGTATATTTTTTAGATGCAGCTGGAGTCAGTGGTTCACTGTCGCTTCAAGGAATTTGAACATCATGCTAAGCTCAACCATAAACTGTGACCACACAGATACAGGAGCTAGAGCATTATAACTCGGCCTTTTATGTCATCATCCTCCAGCTGAAAATGTCTGCCTCACTTATGTTTATGTGGGTTAAGCAACAGAATAATTTAAGGAATAAACTCCTTCACTCATCTTCAAATTTCATTGTAAATGGATCAGATTATCTTCTCAGACTTCATAAAACCAGGCAATCCCATGTAGCATGTGAATATAAACACTATAAGAGCACTCACTGTTCACACAATATTCTTACCAATGCTGTGCTATCAGTGTCAAACTGGACAAAGTCTTCAGAAATCAGGAAGAAAAAAAATAGGAAAGAAATTAAATGTTTACGTACTTTGCCAGGTGTAACAAGGGAAGATCAACTTAGGAACAATTATACCAGGAGGAGAGTCGTCACATAACTTTATAGGCAGACAACAGATCAAATGATGTGGCTAGGTAACAAGATTGGCAACAGACAGGGCACCACAGATAGAAATGTTATACAGATTCAGCAGTAACAGAGCCAGAGGAGGCCAAACAGAAAATGGACTGCAGAAATATTAAAGACACTGAAAAGTACCTTATACGAAGCAAACAGAAAGGCCCGTTTCAGAAATCTCTTCCTTCCCTGATGCTGTGAGGAATTCCAGGAAAGTTGGGGGTGGCGGGGGGGGGGGGGGTGGAGTGGAGATGGGAAGGAGAGGGGGAGGAACTGGTAATATGTATATTTTCAGATATAAAGATGCCTTGGCAGTTTGAAGTTGTAAACAGTAGGCTCTAATTTTCCACTACACTGAAATCCTAAAAATTCCAAAAGCAACCAACAACTGAATCTTCTTTCTCTTCTTCCATGCACCTTCAGATGTCAGGATAAATGCACTTAAACAAAGAAAGGGTCACCCTGAGATTTTAGACACTATAATATCTATCCTTTACTAAATGGGGGGTCTGCCAGAGTAATTTACTCTGCTCTGCATATACTGGACACACTTGCGGCAGACGTTATGTTGTCATTTTACCAATTTCAGTTACAGTCACCAGTACTGCTAATCTTTAGCTTAATGAACAGTTTATTTGAACTAGCTATGTCCTGTGCTGTTCAACTAAATGAAGATCTTTCTAATGAAATGCTTACTGGAGTGGAAGTGGGTCTATTCTTGTGTTTTTTTCAATGAGGCCCAGGAACCTACATAAAGAGATTACGCTTACAACTGTACCACTGCTTCTTAATTAACATGCTAAGGAAACTATCTTGTACCACCGATTTTTCTTATTAAAAGTATGTATATATATATATACACATATACATTCTTATTCTTCTGTCTTTTCTTCCCAATAATAGTACAATTCACACCCAGAAGACATCATCATCTACAAAGATGGATCGGCGAAGTCTACGGATTAAGGTCACTATGGGCATACGCTCTCAAAGAATGGGGAAAACAATGCAAGAGGACAGCAGTGCTTACCAGGCAACCACATCAAGCATAACCATGGAGTCAGCCGCAGCTTCATAAGCAATCACATGGGCATGACAGCAAACAGCCATAGAGGCACTAATTGTGTCACTCCATAAGACAGCAACAGGCAGTATGCACTCTGAATGGGCAGAAAGCATCCAAAAATCACACTAAACCTCCCCTCATCTGGATCTACACACCTGGTCATGCGTAAATAAAGAGCAATGAGCAAGCAGGCCAACTGGCAAGAAATGCACCAACGAATGTGGGGAAAAGCATGGACAGAGCAGATATGTCAACGTTGACCGACTGGGCCAGTGGATAATGATGAATCTCTTACACTAACACATCTGCATTAAATGGGAGTAAAGCATGGTGAAGCACACCTTTTCCGCTTTTAAGGCTGGGATATGAGACATTATAATCAACTTCTCATGGGAACAATTAGTAGAAGTACTTTGGAGTGGCTGCTGCATCAGAGGATTGAACATGCATGGAAATGCTCAATGAGCAGTAACATTGGCTGTTAAAACATTACCATGTCTCCCCCCCCCCCCCCCAATCTGTTTCATGTAACATTTTTTTTATATATGTGCTATATTTTTTTTATCTGCCTTTATTTCTTTGACTCTGTGGGTCCTAGTGCAAGGAAATTCTAGTTAAACTATTATCAGGTTTTCTCAGTGTGTCCTATAATGTTATTCTTCCTACCTCTTGATTCACCAGAATTTGTTTAGTCTCTTCTAAAGTTCCACATTAGTGATTCTATCATAGCATTTAATTCTCTGTGTTTGGGCAGACACCAGTTCATGAGCGTCTGTAGTTTATGCATATCAATAATTACAAACATATGTTATTTTAGACACAGCTGGAGTCAGTGGTTCATGGTCGCTTCAAGGAATATGAACATCACGCTAAGCTCAACCATAAACTGTGACCACACAGATACAGGAGCTAGAGCATTATAACTCGGCCTTTTATGTCATCATTCTCCAGCTGAGATCTCCTGTAATTTTTATTACATTACATCTATTTTTTTTTCATGTAAATAAAACAGAGAAAACAGCTAAAGTGTCCTCAGGCCTGATCCTGTTGATGTTAATGCAGAGATCAACGCTCTCATCAGTAAAAATTCAGACAAAGCAGATGCACTAATCTACACGCCAAAAAAAGAAGCGCCGGGGCATTCAGAGCACGCTCAGCGGGCAGAACAGTCAAAGAAGCCAATGGCCCCTTCTTCAGGACAACCAGCAGCATGACGATGGAGGTGATGGCAGTGACGCAAACGCTCGCAAAACTACATCCGCATATGTATACTCAGTGATTCAATGAGTATGATTCGGAGGGTTCAGGCAGGTTCGGTGCGAAGACAATGGCTTGAATCATTACAGAAGTCCACCGTACATGGAGTCACATTTATTTTTGTTCAAAGAAACGCAGGCGTCGATGGAAATGAAACAGCTGATAGGCTGGCTAGATCCGCTATCACTACTGACGGTCAGCCTATGGATCATGCTGATATTATTAATGCTCTCAGAGAAATGGAAAGGATAGAGGACTTTGGTGGCAGTGAATCCACATCACTCGCCAGAATGGCAGACTTGGGAATTAAGATCAGCATAGCAAAAAATGAGGCACACACCAGAAGACTTGTTAATCAACACAGAACTGGTATTATCGCCATCGGACGTTGGGGTTCATACTGAGAGGAGGATCTGAGCACCTATGGATATGTCCAGAGTGCAATGATGATAACCCTACTAACTAACTAACTAACGGTAAGGCTTGAGCATCAAGAGAATTAGCAAGACAAATGCAAAATATATTTTTTTTCAAGCTTTGATTTTGGTCAGTCATCCTGCATTCGAATAGAACTTCTTTTCTTTTTGGAAAGTGTCTCATTTCTGTGTTTGTGACATAGGTGTTGTGAATGTGTGTCATAATTCTAGGGTGCTTAGGTCGACTCCCATCTGTGGGTGATCTGGTAGCAGACCACCTTGTGTTTGTTACAACAGTGGTGGTATTGAGAAACCACTGTTCAGTAAGCAATAACGAACTATTCAACGTGAAACTGCCCTGTGAAACTACAAACAGCCAAAAATTATGGGACTGATTCTATAATGTCCTGTAAAGGACACACAACTAAGTTTTATTTGTGTTGTCAGATTACAGCAGAGCTATAAAGCTGCAACAGATCAAAATAACATCATGACAGGAGCAAAGCTAAAGGGGAAGAGAGATGGTGAGATCCAGTGACAAAACGCTGGGCAGTTTAGTACCATGGCATGTCAGAAAATATACATGAATGATAGAGAAACTCTTTTCCTCCTTTCACTTTTTTCATTTCTCGTTATCTCTCTCTCTCTACCTATCTCTCACATACACATGCCAACACACACCACCCACACGAACACACACATAAAATAAGCTATTTGCTACTTACCCATTTTGGTCAATGATGGACCAATTTGCCAAAGCTAAATCAGCATGGGACAGAACCGGCTGAAGACCAAGTTGGCTAGATATGTTGAAGAAAGGATATGCCAAGCTTTTTGGGAGAACCTGCAACAATCAATTTGTTGGGTGGAAAAATTCATTTTTTTAAAAAGGCTGAATTTCTACACAAATTTCAAGTGTCTTTTTCTCACCTGCTGGTTCACTGAGATTTGTTTAGTTCTCTACCAAAGCACTTCACAGGTGGGAGAAGGCTTTTTCGATTCCTCCCCACCAAATATATGGTTGACACATCCCGTTTCTGGGGACAGGTTTTATCGAGTTTGCTCTCTAGACAGTTGCAGTCCCCTGCTGACGAGATTCTGTCTTCCCGAGTGGACCGCCGCGATAAAAACAGTGCAAAGGCAGCATGGTTGAGGCTGCACAAACTATAGGTCATTATCCCGCCCCGACATAGCACAACCACAATACACGCTGCTCCCACGAAAAACACATAGTATCCTGCGTTGGAAACGCGCAAAAAAAAAAAACCAGTCCATGATAGGGGAACAGAATAATCCGAGAGAATTGACAGGAAGCGAAAATAAATACAGCTGCTTTCCTCCATTTTGAAAATGGAAGTCCCCCACCAGAAACGAAACATTATAGGATTATGTAAAACTAGATGGACCGGGGCTCGGGAGAAGTATTTTAGATTCAGGCAAAACTTATTTGTTCTCAGGACACAGAGGCAAAAACAAGAGAACAATATAACTAGAATGTCTTTGCACTGGAACCCACCGCGGCACTGAAATACAGGTAGATCAAAAACATATGGAGAAGAGAGCTATAGAGAGTAAAGTTAAAAAGACAGGATGACATGGGATGAGCTGTATGCAATAGCAAAAGATAAAACGATTTGACATGAGTTAGCTGAAAGTCTACGCTACACTGGGGGGATAAGGAGCAGAAGAAGAAGAAAGAACTACAAAAATGCTTCTATCACACCATCTAATTCCCTCTATTCTTTGCAGGCACCAATAAATGAATGTTTGTACTTGTAAATTTCACATTCAAAATCTGCACAAATTTAAAATAAAATGTAAGCTACCAAAAAATGGGACACAACCGATACAAGCTATGTTTAATGTAGTAACATATCATCATCAAGTGCCTTTCCAGCAGGCATATGAGTTCATGTGTCTCCCCCAAAAAATTTAAGGAAACAGTGGGTATATTCTTTTTCCCTCTAAAATGGTGCTCCGGTAGTCTTAATTTCAGCTTCATAGCAAACAGGTCACCCCATCTTTGCTCCGCTCCCGTGCCAACGAAAAACAAACAGAATGTTTATCACAGTATTAGAATTGCAGTTAATCATTGATGGTAGCAGAAGTCGCCAACAGATCAGCAGTTGCCCACGCGATCAATTTTAATCACATAGGGCACAACACTGCACGACAGGAATCGCGCCATTTTCTGAATCTACAATTCACACCAACACGGTCAGTCGAAAAAACATTCCAAATGCAATCCGCAGCTTACAGGGTCACGCCATGCATTCAACTCAGAAGCTGGGCGACGAAACTATATCCAGTCTACAAATGGAGCAAAAATGCATCGGCCACCGTCCGGCAGAAGCAAAAAATTTGCCTGTTTCGAACAGTGCCGCTGCCTAACGTCTAATTTGACCAGAAGTCAAACCACATATGATTTGGTGTGGACTGCATGTACACTAACCCAAATGATGTGTGTTGAAAGAAAGCCTACCTGTGTAACCCCCTTGTCACCATTCTGCCACACATATCCAGCAGTAATCAGAGACAGCTGCAGATGAGCAAGCCTCCACTCACTGTATTCCCTGAGCTGGTTATGGTCCAGCAATGGCAGCTGTAGGGAGAACACATATTTTTGTAATGTGTTGTTGCATATATGACAAAGATACAATTTCTTTAGAAGCTGATTTAGAATATTCTGCTGCCTCCACAATAAAGGTTGGCTGCAATAAATAGTTGCATCCTGGATCCACTGTTTCTTTGCAAATATAACATATGAGGCCCCAGTCTCTTCCACCGTGGAAAATGCAACTCTGAAATCACTTTCTGAAAGCCAAAATAAATGTTTATTTCTCAACCAGCCACTGTGAAAGTCGAACACTGCTATGTCAAGCATAAAAAAACACACTTTCAAAGCATCAGAAGAGGCAGATAAAGATATTTTACTTTAGAAGAAGATAGAGAAGATCGTCTTGCTGGACGTTTTTTTTTTTTTAACTTTTAGTTGCTCCTTTGATCCAAAGCCCAATCTCAAGACATAATTTTGGCCACCACATGGCTGATTAGCAACAATTAGCAATATTAATTGTGGCCATTAGGAAGAAAATACAGATACCCCGGAGTACTAAAGTGAATCTTATCAGAACTATTTTTTTGCCAACACTATGCTATCAGTGCCAAACGTGGTCACTTACATCCTCCAATGAAAATAACATTGTGACAACAGAGATGAAATGCCTTACAAGAGCTGCAGGAGTTTCAAGGAAAGACGGAATACGAAATCACAAAATCAGAAGAATGCTATGAAGAAAGCCAAGGTCACCAAAGAGCAACAAATGAAGTGGTTGGGACACCTAACGAGAATGCCCTGGTACTACCTGCCACAACGAGCCACACTAAAACGTTACAACGGGTATAGAACGGATGGAAGACATCATTAAGAACCACCTTACAGAAATGAACATAGTCTAAATAGTGCTCTTGACAAATCTCATCAACAAACGTAACCCCCCCCCCCCCCCCCATTTTGATGAGGTACCAGGTGGAAGAGAAAAAAGAAAAAGGAAGAAAATGTATTTAGATTAACAGTACACATTTCTGAAAGTCACACCATGTCCTCATCTTTTTCACATTATTCTTCAATTCTTTTCAGGATATGTGTGCATGTGTGGTACACCTTTATTTATTCCGGTGCAGAGACAACTTCACATGTTCTGGCCACACTGAAAGACATGACACGTATAAAAACCTCACTAGAAAGAAAAGTCAAACAGAACAAATTAAATGGAAAATTTCAGTAAGAGAAAAACAGCAGCGATATCGCAATTTCAGCAATTCTTTTAATAGTTGACCTTAGGGACATGCCTGTTATGGGCCAAAGGGTCTATTCCTTCCCCCCCCCCCCCCCCACCAAAATATCATTGCAAGAAAAAACTGCCAGTTTTTCATACAAACGCCAAAATACCTTCTCTGAAGAGGAAACAAAAATTGGCTGGAGTGCAGAGAAAAGGAAGACATCAATTGTTTTTCCTCTTAGAAAGAACTTCTTGGGTGAAAATAACATCAAATTTCATAATACAGAAAAATATTCAGGCTTCAGGATGTGTTCAACATGAACAAAACAACCAGCCAACTTTAAGAGAATGCGTAGTCCTCACAGATTTGACATCTCACAGTGAACTAAAAATCACATTTCAAAATTAGTATACTCAAGTTTGTGCTGCTTTTAGGAGAGGAACTTACAATCTTGTCAGTGAAAGCAAAGTTAGTATTGCAGCCTTTCTTAACTAGATTTCCCTGTGCAGCAGGTTTCTCCTTTTACCAACTACCCCCTAATCACATCTGCTGTAACGCAAATGGTTTGACTTAATGAGCCTTTGAAGCATTTTTATGCATGGTCAAGTTTTGAAAATATCACGTGTATTGGGGGTAGCTGAGAATAAACTGACTATCGTGGCAAATTTGAGTTTTTAAAATATAATTTCACTGCATAGACACTGCGCTTTTGTTTAATCATTTCGGTCTGAGGTGAATGGCACTGCGAGGAGTTACCAGGGGATCTGGCCTATAATACTCAAGGAAAAGGCGAGACAGATATACAATCAGACAGTTACCAGTGTTAGAATTGGAACTCTTCGTTTGCTGCTGAAGATGGGGGACTGAGAACTTATGGGAGTGTCCAGAGTGCTATGATGTTGATTCTTAATTCAACATGCACTTTTGTTTAGATATCGCTTTGCTTTAAATTCCCTTACTCTCTTTCCTCTGCTTCCACTCCATAACTTTGCTTGTAAACCTGTAATACGTAGGGTACAGTAGGTCCAAGGGGATCTGCCAATGAAACTAAAAAGTGGGTCTGCGGGCCAACAGTTGGCTACCACTGCACTAGAGCAAGTCAGAAAGTGTTGTAGATCAATTGCAGCCATCTTTATTGCAAAGGCAGTACCTGACTGATTAACTGTATCAATTTCATAAGTAGCTACATTTATTTAATATTATAGAAACATGCAAGAACAAACTTGAGGAATCACCTCTGCGACAGCATCCCTTAATTTCTTCTCTCTGATCAGGTCAGGCAGTGAAGACGCTAGCTCATTCCAAGGCTCAAAGTAGGCTGGCAATGATTTCTGGATTAGAAACAATAAATTCAGCATTTTCTGGAGCCAAGCAGTAGGGACATGTCTCAGTGTTTCCTTCACCGAAACGTCTGAACATATGTTGATGAAGTCTGTTGTGCCCGGTCCTTAGTCTCAATTTAACACACTGTCCTTCTCTAGAGAGATGATGAAGGGACTTATAAGATCCAATGTTAGATTCAGTGGATCATATATGTCCAATATTTTATTATAATTAATGTTTGCTGTCTGGGTCATTTCTTAGTTAATAGTGGTGACACTTTAAAAAAAATCTAGAATGGATGTAAAATATCCAAAAAAGATAGTCAACTTGTTCTGTAATTAAATGATAGGGAACGTAATAGTTTTGTTCAATTTGTGGCACAACCATAAAGGGAAGCAGCAATAGCATTGTCGCTAGCATGCTTGCCCGCTAGCCCAAAGTTCTTGGATTCAAATACATACTGAGATAGACTTTTTCTTCAATTGACATGGGTACCCAGGTTAACTCAGCCTGATACAAGTAAAGAACGAACGAACAAACTTTATTTTCAAAGGGTTACAAATTGAGCACGCATGCCCGTCTGACATTGGGCCCTTCTAAGCACTCATTTTTCAGAGTACCAATGCCTGCTATCAATAATGCTTGTTATGGATATAATAAAGAAATATCAATTATAAAATAATGCATACGCACATCATGTGTACACAATCGCACACACTCACAAACACTTATACCTACTATTACGTTCTCATACATGCACTCATATAGACATACGTAATTTATACACACACGCATCTACATACATACACAACATAAAACACATGCACATACATAGACATAAATGCACAAACAGAAGACACACATATATACATTGATGGATATACATGCACACACACATTCCATACATACACACCTATACATGCATTAATGCATACACACATTATACATCACATGTACAGACACCAACATATGCCCACAACCACACATTTACACTCACATGAATACATACACCCACATACATGCATACATACACCCACATACATGCATACATACACACACATACATGCATACATTGCAAGATAGCTAACGTGACATTCACCACATGACTTACTGTTCTGGAAACAAATATGGGGCTGACACTATATGCCCAATGGCAGGACAATGATCTTTTACTTTTTCTAAAGTAAGGAAAGGCCCTTTTTCCACGTTTTAGGCGTTTAGGGCTAGACCTATATTATTATAGACCCATCAGCACAATATGGGTAATTTGGTCAGCATCATGCCGGCCACCTTTACTTCCCGGTCACTAAGCATCCATTCAGGGCAGGGTCGACCTGGGAGTTAGGGTTATTTTTTTTTAAAAGTCTGGCTCTGCCAGGTAGTGAACTCACGACCTTCCGATCCGGACACGAGCGTCTAGCCGCTAAGCTGCCACGGTGACTCATTTTTACTTTTTATGCCAACATTTATTTACAGGTAAATTCTGCAAATAAAACTTATTTACTATTGTCTAATTCAGAGGTTCTCAATCATCCAAATGCTGCGATCCTTTAATACAATTCTTCATGTTGTGATCCCCAACTTGCTACTTCATAACTTCAGTGAATATGTGTTTTCCGACGGTCTTAGGCAACCCCTGTCAAGGGATCATTCGACTCCCAAAGGGGTCGTGACCCACAGGCTGAGAACCGCTGGTCTTATTGTAACTGTCGGTGCATTCTAAGAATTTCTGAATTTTACAATTACTTAACAGGGCTTTAATAATAGCGAGTATTTTAATTCTGAAGATTGTAGACGACATAAACTCAGGATATATAAAAGTCTAAGAAAGGCATGAATGAGGGAACAAGTAATAAAATACACAACATTCATTACATAGGAACTCACTCACTGGCTTTTTCTTCTTCTTCGTATTCACCAGCTGTAAACTCCGGTGGAAAGTTCTGGTTGTTCGTCTACTTCTGGGTTGCAGTCCGTTTCCAGAACCCAAGTGTTGTGTGTGCATCCGTTTTACAGATCTGACTCATTTGTATGCAGACTGCTGGTTCCTTACCTCTCAGGCAGATGCATTCCAACTTCAAAGGAAGCTCCCATTTAGTTTAGTCGACTCTTACGACATGCTATTAGGTAGGCAGTGGGTCTATTCTTGTTTACCATATAGTATAGGGCCCTGGAACACAGACGGGGAACACTGGCTTTGACTGATATCAAGCAAACAGTTCTAACACCCTAAACATAATTAAAAACCTAAGTGGGTTTAGCACCACGTGCCACTACTATGATAAAAGAATTGTTGATTTTTTACAATTAAATCTCATGAAAAATTAAAATGCAAAAGTAAATGTCATGTACTCACGAGGGGATTTTTGAGCATAAAACCTGTATCAAAGCTAACATTGTATTTCTGTATATCGAAAACTGCAAGGTTTTCTGATCCACTTTTCAGCTGGTCTGTAAAAAACAAAGTTATGCATAACGTTTTTTTACTTTTCGCTAATTCATGCAATAGGCAATTCATGGCTATCTTCCGAATAACGGTCCCAAATTATTGAGGCCGAAAATTCTTATATTATATAAAATCTTAAAAATAAGAAAATTCTTTTAGCCCAACTATTACTATCTTATAATACATGGTTAATGCATCACAAAACATAACTGTTAGAAGACATAAATATGCATTATTATTTACTGAAATAGAAAAATTACACTATAATATAATTATTATAATACTATAATAAAATAATATAATATATCAAAATTATAACCCCGATGAGCTGTTGGTTGAACAGGATCTATCTATCTATCTATCTATTGTCTTCTTCACTTTTACCGGGTTGCAGCCCAGTGTCGTGGTTTAAAATTTTTGTTTTGAGCCTCTCGCGTGATTTGAGTGACAGTTTTCTGGATCTTCTGGCCGTATTCTGCTACTCCATCTATCCATATTTTCCTGGGTCTTCCTCTGGCTTTTCTTCCCGATGTTCTACTGTAAAAGGCCTTATAGGCAATCTGATCCGGTTGCATTCTTACTAAATGGCCAAACCACTTCATTCCCTGTCTTTCAATATGTTTCATGCATGCTCTTGTTCCAACTTTGTCTCTAATGTTGAACAGGATATTGCTGTTTAAATTACTAGTAGTTAGTCATAGTGAGTAGTAACTACTTAGTACTAGATGACTAGACAGCATGATAACAGGCAGTTCATGTACCTTGGGATTGCTGCATCAAGACTAGAGACTGATCACGCATAGGCATGCCCAACAATCTCTGCAGTGACGGTCAACTGTGATCGTACAAATCCATAACACCTCACCGCTACCCACGCTGATTGTCTGTACATCACCCTGCACCATGTCGTCCATATTGAAAAGTGAGCGACAGCAGCAGGGTTGCCAGATAAAAAGCTTCATTTTATGCCAAACCATTACCCCAAAAATGCCAGGAAATGCCAAATAAAGTTTAACATTGTATTCGCTTCACATCAAAAGCTCTAGATTGAATTCCACACTGTCATCCTCACTGGAACAAGTGGAAGATACAGCGTAAACCTTTTTGGATTTAAAATCTGTAAGCATTTTCTCAGATGTGATGAAGTCTTTGCAGCTATACTATACTGATGGCACAAATCTCTTGTTCCGAAAATCATCAATAAGGTCATCCTTAAGTGCAGGCCATAAAATGTTTCTTTTATTATGCATGAACATTTAGTTATATACAACTGTATGTGCTCCAATGTACTCCCCCTACCATGCGCTCTCATGATTTCACTCAGATGATCAGTTGTGCGTATTGCGCAATTGCAGGTCATGCTTACAGCAAGTTGCAACTCTGCTTCCTTTAACTTTATCATGACTTTCCCTAGGAGTCAATGTTATAATAAGCTGTGACTGGCTTTTTGACAGAGTTTTTAACCTGGTTTTTTTTTCGGATTTTTTATGATTTGATATGCTACTAATTCTTGGTGCAACAGTACAGTGACACAGTTTACAATATGCTGCCTCTGATCCGTCTGCAGGTCTTTTGAGCCGTCGGTATGTTTTCTTCCAGTTACTATTATACTTGCGATGTCATAAGATGCTTTTCATTTTTTTGAATGACATGGCTATTGGTAAAAGTAATACAATCTATTACAAATATAACTAGGTCTATATCCTCTCTATTTGCTGTCCGGGTGCCGAGTTAGCGCAGCCGATAGGAGGCTTGCTTTCAAATCCAGCTGCGACTCGCTGCAGCTATGGTGGGTGTTCGAAACCGGGTGGTTCCAAGGGTTCACCCAGCCTCTAGGAAATGGGTACCAGAGTTGACACTCTGGGGTGAACGGAGGAACGTCGCTGTAGCTACGGAGCTACGTGCGGACAGCGACACAGACAGTTTCTAATCAGCTGTCCGTACTGGTGGCAGAGCACTTATGGTTTATAACCGTGAGCAACGACGTTGGTTCACATCTCCCGACTTTACCTTTTACCTTTTTATTTTCTGTCCTCAAGTAGTTTCTGAACAGGCTGAATCACTTGATATTAGCGGTGGGTTTTGCTTTTATATCCCACATTTTTTCTAGTAGATTAACATAAATTACAGAGGGCCTTGGTTTATCGAAGTACGATCCGTTTAGGAAAACAACAAATACAATAAGAAATTCGTGAATCTCCTTAAGTTCGTACCAGGACATCACAACAAAGTCGAACTGAAATAAAGATGTTAACTGTAGGTTTACATATTTAGTAAATCTGCGTGTTTCTAACGGTGGAACCATGAAGCAAATGTGAGCAAATTTTGATAAGAAATGCCAGGAAAACCCCAAATATGCCAAAATATGCCAGTTCATTATCTTATGCCATTTCAGTTTCAAATATGCCAAATTTGAGGAATCTGGCATATAAAATGCCAATATGGCAACCCTGGGCAGCAGTGTTGCCACCAGTGTTGCCACTTTTCTTTGGCAAAAAAACCATTCAAAACGGAGTCAAAAAATATCTAAACACATCTAGAAAAAAAACATCCAAATTTAAAGAGTCACAAATTCTGCCTTACAAGATCCGGGAACACCTCTCTGATATCGACAAAAAGACACTCAAACCAATCCCTCTTCATTTCAATAGCCCTGACCACAGCGGTAAAGATGACATATCTGTCACAGCATTAAAATCTTGCTCTGGCGATCATACTACCCGCCGCGCTTTGGAAAATCGCCTTATCCACAGCCTTGGCGTTTTTAGTCCAAGAGGTATCAATATCCAACATACCTTCATCTAAATAGTTCTAATCTTATCACATTTTAAATGTTAATTATTTTATTTCATATTATTACCATATTATATTTCTTATCAATATTATTTATGTATCATTAACACTTGCATTTCTTGTATTCCCAGTATTGTGACTATATTTTTTAGCCATCGTTTATTTTATTTTATTTCATTTATTCCGCATCACATTTTTTAAACGTCGCTCACGTCACCCCTTAAGAGATCTACATACTCTCCATTCCTCGTTTGTGTATTTCACTTGTGTTTGAAAAAGGCTGCCTGGCCGAAACGTTACGTTGTGTTGTTTTGTGCACGTTTTCCTCTTTCCCATTTTGTTGAGCTTTTCAGTCAAATTTCTCTTGAATTCTTACAAGATCCACAGGATAAACTTAGCTTGGATGATGAAGTTGAAGATTTAGATCCAAAATGACTCTGGTATGCTTTAGCTGTTCCAATTTCTTTTAATACCCATTCAGGGAGCTGATAAGTGGAACAGCCTTTTCCTGCTCTTATCAGGCCGGATTTTATTGTCAAGATAGCATTTAAGAGGTCAAATTTCATCCTGTTTCTAGGTTAGATTTGATAAATTCACTCCAAATAAAAACATTGCCATCTAATTGTCAAAAACGCCATCTTAATGCAAGGGAAAACATCTAAATCTGGATTAAAACATCCAACACTGGTCTAGGGCAGTGTTGCCACTTTGGATCTTTTGTATCCAAATTTAGATCTTTTTCATTGCGTTTAGATCCTGTTTTTGACGTTTAGATACTAAATATTTTTCTAGATTCTTTTCATATGGAGTTAGATATTTTATAGATTTTTTTTTCTTTTAGTGTCATTTTAATAATTATTGAGTAAAATATTTACTGAAATATTTTTGTTTTGGTCTGGCACATACATTGTGGCAACTGCCATTACTTAAACTTTGAACTCTCACTAAGATCAACACTCAAATATCTGACAACCCCGGTGCTGATTAATCGAATCGCGCGTAAATCATACTTTGTTTCAACCGTATCCTCACTGTGTTGTGAAGTATAGCTGTGATGCTGACTCTGTGTTTCTTTTTCATGTGATTTAAAAAAAAATAATTGCTCACCTTCTTGTGTGGCTTTCACTTTGAAAAAAACCTTTTAACTTGCCAAAAGTAAAGTATGAGCAAAAATTTCGTAAAGAGTGGTTGCATGATGACAAAATTAAAGACTGGGTGATGGCAGTTCCTGTGGATATAACCAAGGCTCGTTGTAAGTACTGCAAGTGTGAAATTAAAGCGAAAATACAAGACTTAAAAAAGCATGCAGAGACTAACAAGCATAAAACTGCAGTTCCATTTAAAGGTATTACACCGCTGACATCTGTTTTCAGAACTACACTGATAAATGAATCATCAAAAGTTGAAGGGTCGGTCGCAATGTTTTTAAGTTGCCATTGTGCAATTTCAAACTGTGACCATTTGATTGATTTGTTTAAAAACACAATTTCTGACAGTAAAGTTATGGATGATGTGAAAATGCATCGCAGCAAGTGTACACATATTATAAGAAATACTTTATTTTCTCACTTCGAAAAATATAATTTATTATTAGACGAATCAAATGATATTTCGGTACTGAAAGTGCTTGGTGTGTGTATTATATATTACAGCAACAATACAGACAAAGTAGTTTCTACATATCTTGGACTAGTTCAATTGGAAAAGTGTGATGCAGAAAGTATAGTTCAAGAACTGAAGAACCTTTTAATCAGCAAACAGTTAGACTTGACAAATTTGATTGCAATTGGTACCATAATGCCTCAGTGATGGTTGGCATAAACAATGGCGTTTATGCCAAGTTGAAGGAAGCTATCCCATCGTTAATACTTATAAAATGTATGTGTCATTCATTGCAGCTAGCACTATCACATGCTTCATCTGAATGTTTACCAAGGAATTTGGAATACCTTATTGCTGAAACACATAACTGGTTTTCAAAATCATTTGTCAGACAACAGCAATACAATGCATTGTATTCAACCTTAAATAATGGTTCCACACCACTGAAAATTCTGTCAGATTGCAAAACCAGGTGGTTATCAATACAACCAGCTGTTGAAAGAATTGTGAACCAATTGAATGTACAGTGATGAAAAAAGTTTGGCATTCCTTCTCTTTTTACAACCTATTCTAATGGAAGTGCAAAAAGTTAATAAACTGTTCGAATCCAAACATGTTGATAAAGTTAAATTACTTGACGATCTCACTTTGCTATTTTACTCAGTTGGTAAAAGACTGGTGTTGCCAACTTCAAAAGTTGATTTGCTCACTTGCACTATAGAGAGCTATTTGGCTCCTAAGCCATACTTTGGATATCAAATTGAATCAAAAATTGATGTTTTAAAAACAAAAGGACTGTTAACAGAGAATGA